ATTACACTGAGAGATTAAAGGAGATGTAAATTACTACTATAAATGAAGGTAAGGTATGTGTTATACGTATGTTTCTGTATTGACGATGACATCGCAAGGTTTTAATATAAACAAAATACATTCTTCGAAAATGCTTTGATAATATATTTATCATGTTTTCTGGGAACATATTATGCAATATTATTCTTTAAACTGAATACTATGATTTTCAAATAAGCATAAATAAAAATTTTAAAATTTCCGTGAATTTGAGGATATCACAATAATCGTCTATTGTTATAATGTTAGTATTGATTATCTCTCTAAAAACCTGGTTCAACATCAACATAAAAAACACATTGAGATTGACTTACACTTGGTTCGAGATAAAGTTGCATTGGAACAAATTTGAGTGCTTTATGTTCCATCATAGTCCCAATTTGTTGATATTTACTAAAAGGTTACCTTCATCTCTATTTCTTGACTTTCAATGTATTTAAACATTCAACAAGAGCCTTCCATTACGACTGTAGAGATGTTAGTATATTGTTGTATATTTCGGGCAACAGTGTTTGTTGTTATCATTGAGAAATTTCTTGGGTTTGGAAGTTTTGTTGTTGTGAAAATTGTATTTGTAAGTATTGTTGTGTGTGTAGTAGAGGAAAAAAAGAAAGGTATGAAAAAAATTATAGTAAAATTGTAATATTTATAGAAAGAAAAAATGGTTTTAATTAATTTTTTTCTAATTTCTTTAGCCGTCGTCCTTGGAAACCCACACATATTTTCTAGACAAAATTGCAAATTTGGTCCCTGTAGTATGTCAAAACTAGCACGTTTGGGCCAAAATGAGTTTGGCTTGCAACGATGGTCCAATAGTTTCATTTTCTTGCAAGTTTAGTCCAATGGCTTAACAGCCGTTACCAAGCTCCCATTACTTTACCCATGCCCCTCTCAATTAAGGGTATTTTAGTGCATTCATCCCTGTAACCGTTCCCGCTAAAGCTCAATAAAAGTAGTTCGTCTCCTCCTGAATAAAGTAGATCGTCGTTCTTTAACCAAGATCAATAAAAGCCCTAGACACAAAATCTGTTGTGTTAGTTATGTTGCGATTTGGTGAGATTATCGGTGAATGAACATACCAATGTGGCACGTAAGGTTGTTAAACACACACTTCATCCCCAAGGTTGTTTATGGTACATAATTTTCACTTTTTCATCTTTTGATTTCTTGAATGTTTTTGACGTAACTCCACCTGATGTGCTTTTTTACTTGTTTTTAAGATGGACACCCAACATTGTTTACCATTAAGTTGTACCATGGAGGTGAGTTCACTAAGTACCCTGATGTTTGTTAGATTGACGGAACTGTAAAGTATGTTGACATGGTTGATATAGATGAGTTTTTAGTTCATGAGCTCGATGCAATCATGAAAGGTTTCAGATATGGGGTTCCTCTTGTTATATACTACCATTTTCTTGTGCCTGGTGGAGACTTCCACTTTGGTCTTCGCCCTTTAGGAATTTATGAAGATGTTGCAAACTTTTCTCAATATTTCAGTGAGCCCAAAGTGATGAAGGTATACACAGAACATGGTGAAACAAGACTACTCACCTATTTCTTGAATCCTAAACCTGTTACCAAGGTTACCCTTGTACAGTTAGATGAACCACATGAGGATGTGCAACATAATCATGAAGCTCCTGATTACCAATCAAAGGAAACACCTGTGATGACTACACCTACTAATTTGGTGCCCACTCAACCAAACCAACTTGAAATCCAAGTCAATGAAGTACTTCAAGTCATATCCTTATCACCTGAATATAATATACTTTGATGGTATTGGTGAGACTAAGCAGTGATGGCATCTTGCAGTAAGAAAATATACTTTGATGGTATTGGTGAGACTAAGCAGATAGCTAAAGACTTTGTTGACGCAACTATTCATTTTGATATTGGACTCTACCGATAAATACTACAAAGCAATGTTGATGGAGTCAATGACCCTGACATGCATGATGCGAATGAAAATCAGATGGATGAAGAAAACCAAACTCAGATGGATGAAGAAAACCAACCTCAGATGAATGAATTTTGGGATTTTGACTATCAAACTGATGCTTGTATCCAAGATGGAAGCAAAAACCAACCTCAGTCTAACATGGATAGTAATGGAAAACAAAATGTAAGTGAGGTTGAAAGTAATGAAGGAAGTGAAAAAGAGCAAGAAGATGATAGTGATTATTTGGTGGATGAAGATAATGTAATTGAAGATGTTGAAGTTGATATGAGGGATTTTAACATGAGCATTGATATAGAAGTAGAGTTCTTGGATAAAAGGACTAGGAATCCTAGACAACATGATAGTGATGAAGAAGATGATAAGTTAGATGTCATTGACAATGATGCTTTTGATTCCATGGATGAGGATTCTGATCAGGACAGGAAAAGAAGAGCAATTTTGAAACAACTAAGTAAGGAAAAAAGTTGTTCTTTAGGTGAGGTTCATAAGTGTCCTTTTAAAATAGGTCAAAAGTATAACAGTAAGCAAGAGTCGAAAGAGAAAATCAAAATGCATGCATTGGAAACAAAAAGGAATATTGCATTTAAAAAAAATAACAAATGCAGATTGAAGGCCATATGTAATGGAGTTGTGGCATTTAATAATGATGGGGTTGGTGGACCTACCCAACCTGAGAAAAGTAAAAGGAAAGGTAAAGGGAAAAGTAAAGAAAAGGACAAACAAGGTGGGTCAAGTCAGGATAAAGCAAATTCTTCTTGTCCTTGGATGTTACATGCCTCGAGGTCTACAGATGCAAGCAGCTAATATATTAAAACATATGAAGACAAACACACTTGTATGAATAAAAGGAAGGTCAGATCTGCAACAACAAAGTTTATGTCCAAGCAAATTATGGATCAGGTAGAATCCAACCCTACTATCCTAGTTAAAGCTCTCCAAGAATAGCAACAGAAGAAGTATGGAGTGGGTTTCTCAATTCATAAAGTTTTTAGAGCCAAAGCAGATGCAAAAAGGTTGTAGTGGGTGATTACAAAAAACAGTATGAAGTTCTAAGAGACTATATCCTTGAGTTGCAGTCAACCAATCCTGATACCACATTCAAATTAGAACTTGGAGATATTTCAGAGTCTAACATGGTGAATTGCACTTCAAGATGCTTCAAAAGAATCTATGTTTGTCTAGGGGGTTGAAGAAGGGATTCAAAGCTTGTTTAAGAGATTTCTTGGGGTTAGATGGGGCTCATATGAAAGGCCCTTATCCAGACCAGATCTTAACTACAGTTGGATTAGATTCCAATAATGACATATACCCACTTGCATATGTCATTGTAGAGATTGAAAACTATGAATCTTGGAAGTGGTTCCTTGAATTTCTTGGTGATGACTTGGATCTACATACTATGTCTAATTTCACTTTTGTTAGTGACAGACAAAAGGTAATGTTTGCTTTTTTATTATTTTTAATCTTTATTTGTTAACCATGTGTAATTTGTTGCCAGGGTTTGGTACAAGCAGTTAGTCAACTGTTCTCATGTGCTAAGCATAGGTTTTGTCTCAGAGATATACATGAGAGCATGAAGAAACAATGGAGAACTAAGGAATATAAAGATCACCTTTGGGATTGTGCCAAAGCTACAACAGTGCTAGAGTTTAACCATTACATGCACCAATTAAGTTTATATGACAAATCAACATATGAATGGTTGAAGTCAATACCACCATAACATTAGGCAAAAAGTCATTTCACAGCTAAGTTGTTATGACCCTTTTACCCTTTACCCTTTTACCCTTTTACCTTGTTATGACCCTTTTACCCTTTTATGACCACCACAACAGTATGACACTTTTCCCTTTTTCTATATAGGGAGAGCAACCACATATATGTTGTTAAACAACCTTTGAGAGGTGTTTAATGGCAAGCTGGTTGATGGGAGAGATAAACCAATTATTAGCTGTTTGGAGTTTATTAGGGAATATATGATAAAGAGGATATGCAATGTCCTTAAGGTGCAACAGAAGTGTGTAGACCCACTCACCCCAACAACAACAAAGATCATGGAGAAGAATGAAGCAGCGGCTACTTAGTACATTGTAGATTGGTGTGGTGATGAAAAATACCAAGTCGAAGGCCCATGGAATGATCAACATGTTGTTGATATGCATGAAAGAGTATGCAACTGCAGGAAATGGGAATTAACAGGTATCCCTTGCAGACATGTGATTCCTGTGTTATATAACAAAGAAAATCATGGTGAGTGTGTACAAGAGCTCCATACTTACGTCCACAAGGTGCACTGGCTACAAACTTGGAAAATTGCATATAGGTACAAGGTGGAACCAATTAAAGGTTGGGCACTGTGGTCTAGAAGTGAGTATCCAATGAAAATCACACCTTCCCCACACCGTAATCAACTTGAGAGACCCAAAAGGAAGAGAAGGCAATCCATGGAGGAGAGAAGTCAAAGCAACAGTCAGAGTCAGAGTCAAAGGTCAGATGCTGGTCCCAATGAGATTCATGGTTATGGCCTACATGGTAGAGGGAAACTAACAAGAAAGTTTGTTAGTGTGACATGTAGTAAGTATGGAAACAAAGGTCACAAATCCAAGACATGCAAAGGTCAGGGAGGGACTTGATGGACTATGTTGGTTTTATCTTTTGGTTTCACTATGTTGAACAACTTTGTTTTGATTCCTATATGTAGGATGTCTTTTGTTACAATAACTTTGTTTTCAATTAACTTATGGCATGTATTTTGAAAATGGTAATAGGTATTATGTGTTTAGTATGCTTTTCTTTTAACTACATATGGATGCATGTTATGTTATCTTTAGCAGGTTATGTGTGAGCAACAGAACAAATCCATAATTGGTCACTTGATACCAAATTTTCATTACCATTAATTTGCATTACAACAATGTTCTACATTTGCAAAAAACTAGCTAAACCAGACACATATACCCCTAACCTATTACAAAATATAACCATAACATTTGTTGACTTACAACAACACCACTTCTTTTTCATGATTACTTGCTTGATCTTTTATATCATCCACTTCTTTTCGTAGCTTATTGATTGTCCTAAGCAGCCCGGGTATTATAGCTTTGGAACGAGCACACATGGGTTCATCATACTACCCAATAAACCCACATGACAAATTCTTGAAAAAAAAAAAAAGAAACATCAGATCATCAGGGAGCAGTCGTCAAAAGCAAACTGTAACATACTTACCGGGTCAGAACATCCCCAAAATCGACGTTGTGGGTTGTTATCTGTCCATGATGTCTGAACTATCGTCCATTTTCTGTAGAAGCACATCACCATTGTCGATGGACAAGATGAAATCACAGAGGGGGCGATCGATGGAGAAGATGAAATCACAGATGGAGTAATCGTTAGGGCTTGTTGTTGGAGACGAGAATAGAGACGTTGAAGTCTCTTTATGGACTAAATAACAATAATAATATAATAAAGGGGCTAGATGAATGGACTAAAATACCCTTAAGTGAGAGGGGCATTGGTAACGTAACGGGAGCTTGGTAACGGCCGTTTAGTCATTGGACTAAACTTGCAACAAAATGAAACTATTGGACCATCCTTGCAAACCAAACCCATTTTGGACCAAACGTGCTAGTTTTGACATACTACAGAGACCAAATTTGCAATTTTGTCTATATTCTAATTGGCCGTTGCATTCCATAGTATATAGTATATACCACGACGGACCACAAACGTTGCACAATGACACCCTTCGGGTGGTCTGCAAGACCATAGCTTGGACCTAGCCATGAGACCTCTTTGTGCCCCATATACCCCCCATGACCTAATGTCATTGCCATACATGAGTGTTCTATCAAATCATCAAAACATAAAATACTACAAATATTAGGTTGTAGTAGCTAATGATTGACACTTTACGAATTAGGGCAAAAGCTCTTCTTAATTACAAAGACAAGAAAGGAACCAAAAAGGTAAAAGATTTCGGTTGGGTCGATCACATCGTGGGATGAATCATCAAGCATGTGCCATTATTCATGAATAAACTAACTCTAGATACCCACCATCGACCCCATGGCTTTCATTCACTTTCACATCACTTTCATTTCGTCAGTCTCCACAAAACTTCCTTTATCTCCCATCCAAAAATCAGAGCTTTTTCATCTCAAATTTCCATTTGAGAACAGATCAGTCAACTGGATTTGATCTGATACCGATTAGATCTTAGCAAACATGGACCAGATGAAGACCGATCAGAGTCTGCAAGAAATTGGCGTGAGGAGGCCGAGAACTAAGATCGTTTGCACTTTGGGACCCGCTTCTAGATCTGTTACTATGGTCGAGAAACTGTTGAAAGCTGGAATGAACGTAGCTCGATTCAACTTCTCACATGGATCTTATGAGTATCATCAGGAAACGCTTGATAATCTCCAAACTGCCATGGATAACACCGGTATTCTCTGTGCAGTTATGCTCGATACCAAAGTACGTAATCTCTATTTTCTACTAGATCTCCACTAATCGATCGATTGTTTGCAATCTGTTTTTTGCATCATATAAACAGCAATGTCTAATTCTTCTAAGTGTTTATACATCTGATACAGATTTAATTTTGACTTCGGTGGTAAAATTGACTACTTCTGAATTCTGATATTGATTCGATCACTATTTTGTGTTCATATTACGTCTAATCTAGTCCCCAATTTTGTTGGGATGTTGACTTTTTCATTATCATTTGATGCTATGTTTCGTTGATCTCATCTAACTAGAACTATAAGCTCGTCCTTATAGGTCATGGCTACGCGATTTGTTTTCCATTCAGCCATGGCATCGATTGATGTCTGAATCTAGCAAACTCTCTGTTTGTTAAGAGAATTTGTCAGTTTGTATTTCTTTTAATGGAAAGTATAGACACTAATTGAAATAAATAATGGAAAGTATAGACAATAATTGAAATAAATAACTGAATCTTTTAGATATTCGATATTTTTTTTTGCATAATTTAGTAAATTTAGAAAGATTTGTATAATTTGGTACTTGAACTATAATGATTTAATATCATCAATCATTACACTCTAGATCTAGTTGAGATGCAATCTAATAGATCTGAAAAGGAAATAATTCACATGTATGAATCTAATATTCATTAATTGATCTATTATAAATCATGTATCGACATATAACTAAAATAGGTTATTTACAAACGGGAAGAGAGTTTTTGCTTGGTTTTATGTCATTGAACTTGTTAAAATATAATATAATATAATATAAATCAATAATAATAATTTTAAATTTCAATTACAAATTAACTAATAAATAGTTTAAAATCTTAATAATTAATTGAAGCCAATAGGAATCATTTAACTTATGTTATTTTAAAGTATTGTACATTTAAAATTATTATGTATTTTATCTATATAACTTTTAATTTAATTTTCAATCAATATAACAATTGATAAATGGTGTACTGTATATAATGATTAAAAATATGTTGCGTATTAAACTAAAATTATACAAAATGTGAAATGTTAATATGATAAAACCCATAAACTTTGTATAGTTGACTGAATTGGAATGACTTTACAAAAGTCGATTGTTCAATCATTAACAAAAGAAAAAAATACATAGGCAATAAAGATAAAAAAAAAAAAAAAAAAACACACATACTTTTGAAATTCCTCGTATGATCTAAAGGAGATTTTTTAAACCTTTAACTTTTCAAGATCCATCCACATGAACTTTTTGCAGAATGAACTTGTGCTATTAAAGTTCAACATTGAGATGTTCTGATCTATGAACACCCTTTTATGGACCACATACCTTACTTGAACAACTTTAAATTTTTTTCTAAATTCCATTTGTTCGTCTTTTCATGATATATTCACAGGGTCCAGAGATCAGAACCGGTTTTTTAAAAGATGGAAAACCAATCCAACTAAAACAAGGCGAAGAAATAACAATCTCTACTGATTACGACATTAAAGGTGACAACACCATGATTTGCATGAGCTACAAAAAGTTAGCTTACGATGTAAAACCAGGAATGGTGATACTATGCGCAGACGGCACAATCTCGTTCTCTGTTCTTTCATGTGACACTGAAAAGGGTTTGGTTCGATGTCGATGTGAGAATACTGCGGTTCTTGGCGAACGAAAAAATGTTAATCTTCCTGGAGTTATAGTTGACCTTCCGACTTTGACCGAGAAAGATAAAGAAGATATCCTAACATGGGGTGTTCCTAACAAGATCGATATGATTGCTTTGTCTTTTGTTCGTAAAGGTTCGGATCTTGTTGAAGTTCGAAAATTGTTGGGAGAGCATGCAAAGAACATCCTTCTTATGTCAAAGGTATAACAGACAACACATTTTTATTATTTTACTATGTTTGATGTGGATTAAACTGATGATATAAATGTATATCCTTATAAAAATCATTTTGAAGAATAAAAAAGTACTCAAAGTATATTCTTTCAAACTTAGCATATATTTTTAATAGTATCTTATGCAATTTATTAGAATGTTTTTATTAATTATATTTATTTGGAATGTTTTTTTTTTTTTTTGAAACTTGGGGTAGGTGGAGAATCAAGAAGGGGTGGCAAACTTTGATGAAATCCTAGCCAACTCCGACGCGTTTATGGTGGCGCGTGGAGATTTAGGAATGGAAATCCCGATCGAGAAAATATTCTTAGCACAAAAAGTCATGATTTACAAATGCAACCTCCAAGGAAAACCGGTAGTCACTGCCACTCAAATGCTCGAATCGATGATCAAATCCCCACGGCCAACACGAGCAGAAGCCACAGACGTCGCCAACGCCGTCCTCGACGGAACCGACTGTGTCATGCTCAGCGGCGAAACCGCCGCCGGAGCATACCCTGAAGTCGCCGTGAAAACCATGGCCAGAATCTGCATCGAAGCAGAAAACACAATCAATTACGCAGACGTCTTCAAACGAATCGCCGCAAACGCCCCAGTCCCGATGAGCCCACTCGAAAGCCTAGCGTCCGCCGCCGTTCGAACCGCTAACTCATCAAGAGCAACCCTAATTTTGGTTCTGACAAGAGGTGGAAGCACCGCGAAGCTGGTGGCGAAGTACCGGCCCGGGATGCCGATTTTGTCAGTGGTGGTGCCGGAAATTAAGACGGATACGTTTGACTGGTCGTGTAGCGATGAAACGCCGGCGAGGCATAGTCTGATTTTTAGGGGTTTGGTTCCGGTATTATCCGCCGGATCGGCGAAAGCTTCTCATGCTGAATCGACGGAAGAAGCTTTGGATTTTGCTCTGCAACATGCGAAGGAGAAAGGGCTTTGTAAGGCGGGGGATGCGGTGGTGGCGTTACATCGCGTCGGAACGGCGTCTATTATCAAGATTGTGAACGTTAAGTGAAAAAGGTGAAATCGATTATGATTTATTTTCTGTATTTTTTTGCATGATGTATATTTCAGTAAACTATTGTCGATGGTTGTGACATCGATAAAACTGCATTGTTTGTGTTTATGGGGATTTTTATGTAATTTGGCGCATAAAACTACAGTTGGCGAAATTTGGCTGACTGTTGCCGAGTTGACTCGGTATGTAATGGAAATGAGTCAATGACCAACAATCTATGAAATTGTTACAAAATAATGGTGAGCGTGGAAAGAAAGATGCCAAAGAGTTTTATATTCAGGCTTATCAGGGAAGGTGATAAACTTAGTATTAATTCAAAGTTTCAAACTAAAAGGTCTAAACACGTCATGATAAATGCAAAGGAAATACTTGAAAATCTACAAGAATGAAGGGTTGTAGACAGGGGTGTGCAAAAAAAAAAAAACTGCAAAACCGAAAAACCAAGCAGATCCGGTTAACCCGAAACCGAAAAAAACCGAATCCAAAAAAACCGAAACCGAAAAAACCGGGTACCTACGGGTCGGTTTCGGTTTGGATATTTAAATATCCGCGGATATTCGAACCGAACCGTCATATATATATATATATATATATATATATATATATATATATATATATATATATATATATATATATATATATATATATATATATATATATATATATATATATATATCAATGTTTTAAAAATCGTTCAACGTTCGCTAGTCGGTGGATTGGGGTCAAGGGATTAATCGGCTAGGCGGAGATTAATTGGGGACCATTAATTGCTAATTTGTTAAACGTTAAAAATTAAATATGACTTATATCATATAAAAGTTCATAAATATCACTAATATCATAACAAAATAGGTTAATATAATAAATCAAACTCTAATCATTCATCAAATAGTTTCCATTGAGATATAACATTTTCAAAATGTTAAAATTTCATCGGGTTCTACTGTTTCAGTTATTTTGTATGCATGGATTAATCGGTAGGCACTCACTAATCGGTCAAGTAGCGCCTAGGGATTAATCGGGACCTAATCGGTATTTTTACAACACTTATATATATATATATATATATATATATATATATATATATATATATATATATATATATATATATATATACACACAAGTAGGTTCGTGCGAAAACATAAATATCTTGCAAAAACGCGAAAACAGATTTTATCTTATAAAAACCAAACACAAGTACTATAAAAATTAAATTTATTAGCAATAAATTAAATATAATAAGTTTACATTTGATTGTGTTATGATAATATAGATTTAAAGACGGTTTCATCAACTATTTGTTTTTTCACATCCTTGACCACTTTTAAATTCATGTTTTATAATAAAAATATCAAAAATCATGCTTTGCTAATATAAAACAATTTCTTATGTATAATCGATTATCATCGTGTAGTTCA